GCCTGAAATGTTTAAAAAAAAAAAACAGAACAAGAGAATAATATATATAATAATGAAAACAATGTAAATGAAAGATCACTAAAAGGGAGGTAAACTTTGTCATAAAAAAAAAAATCAACAGAAGTGGGAAAAGACATTAAAAAAAAAACTTAGCTCCTACCTCCCAGGCAGAGTAGTAGCAGTCTACTGTACTTTAAAGTTTGCAAACCACTTTACATACAATATTTCATTTGATCTTCAAAAACCCTGTTAAAGTAAGTGCTATTATTATAACCACTTTACAGATGAGGAAACTGAGGTTGAGGTTAAGTGACTTATCCACAGTCACACAGCTGATAAATGTCTAAGGCAGGATTTGAATCTCAAGTCTTTTTGATTCCAAGTCCAGAGCTCTAACCACTAGCCGCCTTGGCTAAATTGTCATTTACATACACTGTCAGGGTAGGCAGGTAGGTGTCACAGTGAATAGAGGACCAGACCACAAGTCGGGAAGACCTCAGTTGAAATCTGGCCTCAGACACGTCCTAGTTTGGGGACCCTAGACAAACTATTCGCTCTTTGTCTGTATCAGTTTCATCATCTATAAAATAGGAATAATAATAAGGACAATAAAAATAGGGATAATAAAGTTGATTGCAGTTTTCTACTTATTTTGAATGAAGATTATTCAAAATTTACTTTTCTATTTTGGGTAATAAATATTGATTATTTTATAACAAAAATTAATAATGTTTGTAAAGAGTTCTATAAACCTTAAAACACTATATAAACTGGTATTTTTTTTTACTTTTTATTAATTAATGTACTTCTAGTTTTCTAAATTAGTGTTATTAATATCATGATGATGATGGTGATGTGTAGGGCTTGCGCTGGCTGTTTTCACTTACATGTCTCCCTCTGTCACAGTGGAAGGCTCCTTCTGCAGGGGGATGTTGTGGGGAATGAGGGTGATGGAAGAACAAAGGTCATCAGTAAAACATAATAAAACAATATATAACAAAATGAAGGGTCAGGCTCAATGACCTAAGAGGTTCTCTGATTTATCATGAAAAAAATAAATAAATAAACCTTGAAATAGACAGAGCTTGTGACCTGACCACTTACTGGTGAATAACAGGCTGGCTACAGAGAAGCACTAAGTTTTTGGAGTCGGGTCCCATGAACAAAGCAAGGATTTTTCCTACACTGAACATGCGTAGTCCAGTCTCTCTATGAGGCCAGTACACAAAAGTGAACCAAGCTTCTCTCAAGAAGCCATGAATGCACCAGCTCGTTCATCCCAGTGCTTCCTAATCTGGCTAATAGGAGACCGGGTGAAAACCCCGGCCGGAGGCCAGCCCAGCCTTTCTCCAGAACACCAGGAGAGTTGTTGCCATCCAAAATGCGCTAATCCCCTTTAGTTACGGAAGCCAAAAGCGGGGGAGGAAAGAGAGAGGAAACAGCCAGTGAAAAATACTCTGATGTAAGTGACCAGATGACAAATGAAATTTCAGCAACTGTCAAGCGTAACAACCTGCAGCAAAACACATCCACATGGGGAAGGAGGAGCAGAGCTATGTGCCCAACAATTATTCACTATGGCCAAGTTGGACTTACACCAGGGATGGAAGGCAGACTCAACGTCAGGAAAACAATTAACTCGGTTAATGATATTAAAACAAAGACACCCCAAACCACACGATTATATCAATAAATTAAGAAAGGGCCTCTGACAAAGCACGACGCCCATTTATCCTCATGCAATGCCAGCTTCAACAGGCCTCCCATGCAAACTGCGGATGCCGTATCTTTAAGAGGGAATGGAATCGTGAGTAAAGATGGTTTCTCATCCAAAGACTCGAGTGAATGTTCAGGGTGAGCACAGAACTAAAAGCCTTTGTTTCTGAGCTAACTGTCAAGGCCAGGGGTGGGGAACCCGGGGCCTTGAGGCCACATGCAGCCCTCTAGGTCCTCGGGTGCGGCCTTGTGACTGAGTCCAAGTTTTACAGAACAAATCCTTTTATCAAGGGGATAAGACTCACAGAAAGCTGAATGGTGGGCCTATGGATCCATTATCTACAGAGATATCAGAGGTGACAGTGGGGGATTGGAGGTAACTCTCCATGTGAGGTGTACCACTGAAATATCTAAATGTATTTTTATTGTTTGTCATACTATTAATAAAATGATGTTTGTCTAAGCCTGATGTACCACTGAAGTATCTAAATGTATTTTTATTGTTTGTTATATTCTTTATAAAATGATGTTTGTCTAAGCCTATGAGACTGGGATTTGACTGAGATGAGTGAAAGCTTATGCAAAAAAAGGTCTCCTCAATTAATTTATGACGAAGAGCACCATAATGATACAATACCACTGCGCTGTGTAAACATGCATATGTGTATATGTACACATACACAGATACCTGCAGATTTATCATGCGCCAAATGGCATGGCGTCTAAGTCCGTGAAGGAGAAATGAATCAAATTATAGGAAGATTTAACACCTGGCTGGTCATATGGGATGAGACCAAGATAAAGCCAACATTTTAAACCTGGGAGACCAGAAGGACGATGTGCCTTTGACAGAAACTGGGAAGACTGACTTACTGATTAGGGAGGATGGCAGAAAGGTTCTTTGGCTTTCCTTGGTATTCTTTCTGAGCCTAAAGGGTTTAAGCTGGTCTCTCCGACCACATCTGGATCTCCAGCAGCTCAAAGACAATAGCAGCCCGGGCAACTGAACACAGACCTTGTCCTTAGTTAGAGCTGCTCAAAATGTGGGGGGACCCAGAGTTCCTGAGCACAATAAATTGATGGATATTTAGACAGACAGACAGACAGACAGATGATAGATTGGTAGATGGACAGGTAAACAGACAGATATAAAAGATATAGACAGATATAGATAGATAAATAGATACAGATAGATAGAAGGAAATACAGATAGATAGAGACAGACACATATAAATAGATATAGATAGACAAACAGATAAAAGCAAGGGAGAGAGACTGAGGAGCCCCATCACATCAGACTATCCCCCAAACATTTGGGCAGAAACAGAACCCTAATCTAATCTAAGTCCAAAAAGCCTCCAGGGCATCTGCCAAAACCCTGTGCCCCCCCACCCCCGCCCCATCCCATATCTTCCCTCTCCTCTGAACACTGTTTCGGAACACTCTCAAGGCGCCTGGCCCACAATGTTGTATTTTTGTATTTGTGCCGCAGACATTTCGCTGCATGACCACAGACAAAACACTCAAGCTCTCTAAGTTTTCATTTCTTCATCTAAAAACCGTGACTGACCTTCACCTCAGAGGGGGTTATGAGCATCAATCGCGGCCACATGGGGTGGGCGCTTTGTTAACCTTACAGAGCTCGGCAAAGGTCACCTATTATTACTTTTTTATGAAGTGACGTGTGTTAGCTCCTTATTCCCCAAATAATAACAAACTACCTGAAGGCAAGGTCTGCATCTGGGTGAAACCTTAGAACTATGATTCATAGCCCAGTATCCTGATCCATAGCCCAATATCCTGTACAGAGAAAATGCTCACTAAGTGTTTGGTGAATGAATGAACTGTGACTGGTCACAGCAGGCATGAGGCCTACATCTCACAGATGTTCTGAACTAAAAGCCAAAGCTATATGAGCCATCTAGGGCTGGTTTTGGTGATGATACTGGAGACCCCTGACTTAGGATCACAGAGATCCCAGAGGTCATTCAGTCCTACTCCTCATTTTAAAAATGTAGGCCCAGCTAAATCAGCCAATGAACCAATGAGCATTTATTTAGCACCTACTGTGTGCCAAGCACTGTGCTAAATGCAGGGAATGCACAGAAAGGCAAAAGACGGTCTCTGCCCCCAAGGAGCTCACAGTTCAGTAGGGAAGACAACAGTCATCGACCACATACGGGCAAGATACAAACGGAAAAAAGTGTGGATAACCAGCAGAGGAAAGGCCTACCATTAAGTCCTACAATGACTCTCCCAGGGTGATACAGGTAGTAAGCATCATAGGTTTTCTGCAAGAGGCAGCTGTGACATAGGGAGAGAGAGGTGGACCTAGGATGTGAACCACGGACCTAGAAAGACTTGGGTTTACGCCTTGCCTCTGACACAAAAAGTCTATGAGATGCAGGACAAGCACTGTTGAAGGGAGTTTTCTCCCGTGGGAGTTCCCTATAGAAATGAAATCACAGGTGTAGGCCTTCCTTAACCCTCCTCAAATTTAACACAACATCAGTCTTTAAAAGCACCAGGATAATGAAAAGCACTGGCCAGATCCCTGGAAACAAGGTGTGTAGTCAAAAACTTGAGAATTACAGACCACAAGATCAGAAACTCTTCTTGAACCACAAGAAAGTCCCTGGCACCAACATCAGAACGATATCTAGGGACAATTTTTAAAATTGATCTGGTGCTTCAATTTCATTGAGCACAAATTAGCTTTAGGAAAAAAAAAAAAAGGTTCAGATTTCCATGAAGTGATGAAAGGTCTGAGGATGTCAGCCTCGTGTTCTTTGTGGAGTGATGGGAATTCTCTCTGTGGTTCAGAAAGCGGGAATCCAGCCTCCAACTGTGTCAGAAACCAGCATGCAACCAAGGCCTCCTCAGGCACTCACGAGGAGACACCTTTCTGGAGACGCTTCCATCTCAGAGGTGGGCTTCAGAAATGCTCATACCCAGACACTGAACGAAGACCTTCTGCCACTCAGGAGCTAAGCTAGTCTGTCTCCGTCTCTGTCTCTGTTCCTCTCCCCCTTTCCCCACTTTTCTTCTTGTCATCCCTCTTCTTCCCCTTTCTTCCCTCTCCCTCTCTTCTCTTTCCCTCTCTCCATCCCCTTTTCTTCCCCTCTTCCTGTCATCCCTCTTCCTCCCCTTTCTCTTCCCTCTTTCCCTCTCCACTCCTCTCTCTCCATCCCCTTCTTTTCCCTCTCCCTCCCTCCCCCACCAACGCAGGCCCTCTCTCTCCCTCCCCCCAGGATGGGTTGAGAAGAGGCTAATCACAAACCCACCTTCACGGCTAAGAAGTTGAGCCCGCTTTCGTTGGCCAGGGCCTTGGCTATCATTGTTTTAGAGCACCCCGGCGGCCCGTAGAGAAGGATTCCTGTGGGCGGCTGAATCCCCATCCGGGAAAAGGCCTCAGGATGCTTCAAAGGCCACTCCACAGTTTGCTTCAATTTGACTTTGATGTCTTCCAGTCCTCCGATGTCCGACCATGATACCTACAATGTGAACCATCTAATCAGTGTCAGCTGTTCCAGGACAAACAGAGGGCTGGAGAAAACAAAATATGCCCACCAACTGTTTCCAAAATAAAAGAAGGGAGAAGGGGGACATAGGGCTTTGAGGAAACGTTCATGGATCAAAATGCTGTTCTGCTCCAGGTGTCTGCTCCCTCACCCCCCCCATTCACCGGACCCCTACCCCACGACGTCCTACTCCAGATGGGGCTGCCCTTCCCCCTGTGCCCCTGGAACTCCCACTGTCAAACTATCGAGCCTTCATTTTAGACGGCCTCCTTTCTTCTTTCTGGCATCTCCTGCATCACTGGGATGACACTACGTCCCCAGCCATCCTTTCCCATATGGGTTACATCTTCTCATGCCTCCCAACGCAACATCTGGGAAGCAGAATCAGAAACTCCTTGTTCCTCATTACCTAACCCTCCCTCTACCATACACCATCACTTAGCAGCCTTTGAGGGGCCCCCATCCAAATTTATCAGCCAACCCAGACCCCGGTGGCCGTTAACTATCAACTCCTGGGATGTTTCACCTCCTTTCTCAATGAGTTCATGGCCTTAGCTCAGTCTCATTTCCCTCCCCAAGTCTTGCCCTCATAAAAGTAAATGGAAAGAGGGAAAGAGAGAGAAATCCAGAAAAAAGGGAACTTAGGAAACAGGAATCCTGTTTGAGAATTGGGAGACAGGTGAGAGGCGAAGGCTGGAGATAAGTTTTTTCCAAAATGGCCAGTGACGAATGGATAGAGAGAAAGGAAAAGAAGCGAGAGATGCCCCTGGGCCAACAGTGGGGGACCCGCGGATAGTGAAGCTCAGTCTCTAATGGTTGTTGGGGTGGGGAGGGGCAGGACCTGGGTCTGGCTTCAGCCTCAGCTTCCAATCTGCTGCGGCATTTGCTCCTGCTCTGGGGCAGCCAGTAAGCCAGAGGAGAAGGAAGGAGGGGGTGCAGTATCCCCCCGAGCCACCAGCAGAGCACGCTGGTCAACCAGAGGCGGGGGGGTGCTCTGTGAAGGGCTGTTCTTCTTCTGGAATTCCCATTCCACAGCAAACCAACTTCCCTTCATCTTGGACCCCTTTTTCTTAAACTCCGTCCATCCACGAGCTCCTTAATTCACCCAGGGCGGTAGAGTCAGAAAGTCTCATTCCCAGAGGGTTTGCTCCAAATCAGCGGAATACATCCGGCTACCTGCTCAGGCTTGCGGCGGCTGTGCCAGCTCTGCCGTGCCCCCACCCCTCCACCACTCTCCCATCTTTCTCCAGATGTACTGAAAGAAGTTAGGGGAAACATTTTTGAAAGTATTTCTTGGGCTGGCTGACATGTGAGCACAGTTACTCAAAGACTTACAGATTTATATGGAATTAAGAATGCACAACAGAAAGACCATCCTGATTCAGATAAGAGATTAAAAAAAAAGGATAAACATCAACATTACAAAATAATACTTTGCTTTAAAAAAAAAAAGAACTTAGTAGAAGCCTACTTTAAATAATAGGATCTCCCAGTACACCTTAGCAAGACCTTTTCCCCATTCTGGGCCTCCAGGACTGGCCTAAGCGGGCGCTCTGAGGCCCCCCCAGCTCCAGATCTTAGCCTATGCCCACGATTTCAGTTTCCCCAAGTTGGACAAGTCTCTCAAGCCCGTGTCTCCTGCGGGAGGGGGAGGGGTGGCTGACTAGGTGGGCACCCAAGTAAGCTTGGCAGACAAAGGGTCCTCCAGACAGCCTGCTTGTCTGCGCCAAGACGAGCGAGCCTTCCAGAGACATGATGAAACAGAGATCCTGGGGAGCTATTTCCTGTGTTCTGAGGGAAGTCTTGCCAGGAACATTTCATATCCCGATCTTGTCTTAACCTAAGACCAGAGACGCATTTCAAAAGGATGCGGGGATGATGAAGGGGGGTGGGGAGGACAAACGGGACATGCCCACCGCCACCGGCAAGAAAACACCAGAACTATCAACAGCCATAATACCGGCCACGGCGTCAGGGGACGGCCCCGCCTTCCTGTCAATCTCCTCCAGGATGGAGAAGCTATGGACCCCATCTGGCGCTATTTAAATGAAATTCCCTCATAATCCAGCCAGCCACCCGTTTCCATGTCCCTCTCTCTTTTTTAATAGGATTTTAATAGCACTTTATTGTGGGCAGGAAGCTCTGCTGGGCATTGCAGAAATGATAATATTTCATGTTTGAAAGGCAGCGTGGCATAGTGGACGAGAAACTGGTCCTCAGAAACAGGGAGAGTCTGGTTTGAGTCCTGCCACGGACACGTACTGGCTCTGTAAGCCTGAACAAGTCACTTGACCCATCTGGGCCTCAGTTTCCTCATCTGCACAGTGAAGGGGTTAGAACCAGCTGACCTCTAAGGTCCCTTTCAGCATTAGATCTAAGATCCTCTGACCTGGCAAAGGTCTTACAATGAGCACGCATCATCACACAGAAAAGGAAACAGAGAGCCACAGAGGTTCCACAGTACAACAGCAGGAGGAAATTCAAATACTGTGGGTGCATCCTCAATTTTACTGTGGTTGGTTGTTTTTACTTCTGGCTTGTGTAATCACAAGTTTACCAACCGCTCGTTTATACAAGAAACAAAGTTAAACGGAGCTCTTTTCCAAAGTTTTGACAAACAGCAAGAGAGAACTGATGTTTCCAGAGGTCGCGTTAACTTCTCCATCATAAACTCAGCCTTCCGCTCAAGGCTAGACGCTCACAGCCTCTACCCCCTGAGTTTGCAGAAACCAGAGAATACAAACACACTCTTCGGAAAAACAGAAAGCTTGGCACGCGGGTATCCCTGCTACTCATCCTGAGGGTGTCTGAAGGAGGGAACTTAATTATGGTCAATTAAATGCCAATTTCACTCCCCTCCCCCATCATTGCCCAAGAAATCTACCACTAATGAGCTCATCCCTGTAGCCAGGCTGACTTGCCACATCCCAAGGCTCTAGGCTCATCTGAAAAGATGCCAGAGGAGGAAAGGTAAACAAGGAGGGAAGTATTGAATGTATAATTAATGCAACAGGCAGGCTTTTGATTATTCGGATCACAGAGAACCTTGCTACTGACATTTAAAAATGGAGGTGAGTGAGGAAGGTTTATTTAGCTAACAGTACTAGGTGCACATCAACAAATCCATAAGACGCCAACCCTTAAGTTGGAGGAACTGAGAGGATCAGAGAGCTTAGAACTGAGAGCTTGAAGACCCCTTAGCAGGGCCTCAGGGTGCAAAGGGAGCTCAGAGGACATCTGGCCTTGGCCTAGCCTCACACGTGGTCAAAAAAATCTCCCCTGTCACAGGCAGCTAGGTGGCACAGCGGATAGAGTTCCAGCCTTGGAGTCAGGAGGACCTGAGTTCAAATCCGGACTCAGACACTTGATACTTACCAGCTTCGTGACCTTGGGCAAGTCACTTAACTCCAACTGCCTCACCAAAAAAAAAAAAAAAATCTCCCCTGTGACCCTACCTAGAAGTAGACTTCCAGCCTCTGGTGGAAGGTCTCCAATATGGTGGAACCAACTACCTTCTGGGCAGCCGATCCCAGAAGGGGATTAGAGACACCTCAGACAGTTAGAACAGTTTTCCTTATAGATCTAAACCTGTCTCTCTGCTTTCACCTACTGCTCCTAGGTCTGCCTTCTCAGGCCAAACAGAACAAAACAAGTGGCCTCCCCAAATCTCTAACTTATATATTTGTGGGAGGAAGGGAAAGAAGAAGGAAGGGAGGAAGAAAGGGAAGGAAAGAAGGAAGGGAAGGAAGGAGAAAAAGGAAGGAAGAAGGGAGGGAAGAAGGGAGATAGGGAGGGAGGGAAGAAGGAAGGAAGGAAGGAAAGAATGGAAGAAGGAGGAAGAGAGGCAAGAAGAAAGAAAGGAGAAAAGGAGGAAGGAAGAATGGCAGGAAGAGAGAAGGAAGGAGAAAAAGAGAGGAAGGAAAGAATGGAGGAAGGGGGGAAGGAAGGAAAGGAGGAAAGAAGTAAGGAAAGGAGGGAGGGAGGGAACTTTTAGAAGACAGTTGGCTACACAGAATGTTTTCCCCTTACATTTTTTCTAATGATCCGAAGGGAACATAGGAAGCAACCTAAGAAAGTACTTTTCTCATGAGTGGTAATCCCTTCAGAGCCCACAAATAACAACAACGCCTGCTGTGGTCCCTTACAAGCTAATAACACGTCAAACAGGAAAACGGCATGAGACCATGGAGCAAAAACACGGTACCAAAAGAAAACTGTCATCAGCAAAACGAGGGCGCTAGAGCAAGGTCTCTCCCAACTGAAACATTCGATGACCCTGTGATCCTTATTTAGAAAAATCAGAGGAATAAAGAAAAATGAAATGAGGAATGAAAGGGAAGGGCCGGGGGTGGGGGGGGGAAGGCTTCCATGGAATATCATTTTGTGGTCTGAAGAGTTTGTTGGGTTCACTGGTCTCACCTCAACGAGATCCTCTGGGAACATTTTGCTGAGCAGGTAAGATCGGCAGCTAGCTGGAAGCTCATGGTGCTTAGCAGCCGCCATTCTTTCTACCCAGGATCTCATCTGATATCAGATTTTCCTAATTACCCCAAGAAGTAGGCGGGGCAATGACAATTTTTAAAATTTTTAAATGATTTTTAAATTTTTAAAATCATCCCCATTTTACAAATGAGGAAAATGTCTCAGAAAGAGTCAGCCATTTAACATTTTATTACAAGTGCTTACTATGCGTTCTAGGCACTGTGCAAAAACATGGTACCTGTCCTCAAAGCGTTCCCTTCTAGCAGGAGAGACAACATGTACATAAATCAGTACATACGAGATTCATACAGAGGAGACTGAAGGTAACTTGGGTGGAGCACTAGCAGCTAAGAAAGAATACTGACAAAATTGCAAAATCCAGAGTAAGAGAAGAAACAGAGAATTTAAATAACCCAGTGTCAGAAAAGAAAAGAACCAAGATATGAATGAACTCCCAGTAAAAATCATGTGTTTATATCCATACAAAGCTC